AAATTTACCCGCTGTGTTTCCAAAATGTATTTCTCCCAAACTAGTGAAGATTAAGAAGCGTTTTTTGAACCAATAAATAAAGCATACTTCACTTTATGTTTCTCCAAAGTTTGAGTTCCGTAAATACTTGGGCTGAATTTTGAGAACTACTAAGAGCGAGACTTGTAATGACCTGAGACAAAACTTACTCGCGCTTTTCCAGAAATATTTTACTCCCAAAACGTAGAGATTCAAAAGCGTTTTTTGCGCAAATAAATAAAGCAATACTCTATTTTTGATGACAATCTAGTTCCCTTAAATGTTTTGACTGCACTTTCCGGAGAAAAATTATTTCTCCCAAACCAGTAGAGATTAAGAAGCGTTTTATGCATAAATAATCAAGCGATAGATCCCTATATTTTGTCAAATTCTGGTGTTTTTAGAGACTTAAGCTGAATATTGAGAACCACTTAAAGTTAAACTTGCGGCTAAACTTACCCGTAGTTTTTCAAAAATTTATTCCGCCCTAATGAGTTGAAACTGAAAAACGTTTTTTGCAGGATTAAATAAAGCACACTTGGCTTTCTCAGAATTTTGTTTTTCTAAGGACTCGTTTTTTGCACAAATAAATAAAGCACACTTCATTCTATGTTCATTACTTCTTCACAACTTCTCAAAAGGAGAGTTGTACTGACCAAATTTACCGCGATTTTTAAAAAAATTGTCGCTCCCAAACTAGTTAAAATGGAAACGCTTTTTTCGAGATAGTAACTAAAGCGTATTTCACTCTATGATCCCACATAGATTCGTTTCCTTAGACGCGTAGCCTGAATTTTCAGAACTACTAAAAGTGAAAAATAAAATTTTCGTTTTGTCAAAAAATCGACCCCCACCCTTGTCAAAATTTCGGCCAAAAATCAAAATTTCACATGTGTGGTTTTTGAGCTCAAACGGTTGCTTTTGACTTAAGGAGTTCAGCAATATGCATTTATAAAGTGTTTGGATGAAAAATGAGGAAGAAATCGTCGGCTAAAGATCGTGAACGCATGCTGTTTTCCAGTTTAGCCGAACAAGTCATAAATAATAGCGTGAAAAATGTAACAAAACCATCATTAAACTATTCATTGACAACGGCCTAAAAAACCAAAAATCGAAAACATTTGAACGTATAATTCGTAAACTTTGAAAAAAATATCCTTCTGCCGCTGATGTTGAATATCAACCAAATTTAGAGTCTGCCAGACCTTCTAGGGGTATTGAAATTGGTAGAAACACTCCATTTATTCGTAAGATCAAAGATACATTTTCACGATTAATTTGCATAATGTTGCGGTATTTCCCCACAGAATGGTCATCCACAGTGAAATAGAGCTGCTCCATCATTAGATCCGACAAGTAACCTTTCTGAAAGGGGTTTGTAATACCCATCCTTTTTTGTTTGATCCAGTTGGTAGAGATTCTGTAATACAAAGTGGAGTTTCTCGTAGAGAATCTAAAGGGATTCGCCCTTCGGTCTCTTGTGGGCAATATTTGATTGTCGTTCTCGATGGGTCTCGTTTGTATTCCTCGTGCGTAACGAGCTTAGGCTAGGTCGATGGCATTTGAGCGAATGTGTTAGTCATGCATTACTTTGCCATTTAAATGAAGGGCTGAAAATGCCATTCTTCATGGCATTTCATTATTGAAAACTTCCTTCATTGTTCACTTGTTCACATTTATGTGTACTTCTTTTCCAGTGCTTTTTTCTGCATCGTTCACAATAACGGTGTACAACACTAATCCGCCACACATGATTCCATCGACCCCACACAAATCCGGCTCTTTACTTGGCCGTCCCGGCTTTGCACGTCTGAAAAGTCCGGATTAGCTGGACGGACAGATTTATTGGACGATAACAGATTGATTGGATAAGTTGTCGAATATAAAAAAATTGCCTCCGAGCTCTAATCCGCCTAAAGCCCATAAGAAATCATGTCGAAACAATTAATCACCGGGCAAACATTCTTAAGTTTTCGATACAAAAAAGTTGCCCCAGCCGAGTCCGGTGTCTGACAGTCCTGCCTACACTTTCATTATATTGATGGACGCAAATATCTACTGCTTTTATATTTGGTTTATTACTTTTAATTTTTTTGCTCTTGAACGTGTCTGGAGAAGGTTGTGCGGAAAACTTTGAAATAAAACCTTACGAGCTTCTCTTGAATGTTGCAAGAAAAACAATAGAACAGTTCTCTATTAAATTATACTTATCTGGGTATTATGCATTAATTGACTACCTTGATTAATCCAAGGTAACTACTTTAGTTCCTAAACAACACGTGTCATCATCAGAGTACGAAGTTAATATGCGAGCGTCGTATTCATGTTTTAATGTCGAGTTTTCCTCGAAACAAAAATCGAAAACTCCCAGTTATAGGAACTTTTTAGAGTGTGAAGATAGCTGGATGATAAAAGTTTACCTGGCGCTGCCAGTGCACTCGTTTGTTAATTAATGGACAAAGTTTTCCATGAAATATACTCATCTCATCGTGTAGTATGCGGCATGCAAATCGCGACTTGTTTATTTCATATTTATTACTTTGGTTTTTGTTATTCATTGGCTGCGGACTTTGTTTCCCTAATCGTCAAGAGTGGAACAAGCGAACACAGCTTGAAAAACAAATCACAAGATCATAAAATAAATGTTTAAATTAAAAAAACGCTATGGCCTGATAGGTAGCTACGTAAATTATATCGTTCGTGTCCAACGCGGAATAAAAATGAAATTTCCATATTAATTCAAAAGTTAAAATATGCTCAGCCATTAACCTGGACACTCGAAAGCGGCATATAACTTGGCCAATTTGTGTTTTTACGTAAGGTACTTTATAGGGGCAATTTTACAGCGCCATAAAGTTACTTTCTCGATGGTGCTGCAGATAAGGTTTCCCATGAGGGCAATCTACAGATAGAGCCGAGATCTAATTAGGTTTGTGAGCGCAACATACAATGTTATCTACCTCTATATATACGTACTAAATATATGTACATATTTCATTGTCAAAATCTTCTGTGCGTGCAATTTTTATAAGAACTGTGTTAAGTAGTTATTGCAAAAGAATGTCCACATTTTCATCGACACGCAGAATATTTCTGTGTTCTTTTCGAGTCGTGAAGTGTTCGTGATGCGTTTAGGGAAGGGCGCGCCCCATCACTAAGACCAATGGGCCGCCCCAAATTGAAACGAATTCCCATAACAAACGCACAAAACAGTATTTTTCCAGGCCATTAGTCCGCGTCAAAATTTAATAGTATACACAACATCGCAATATCTACCTGGGCCCTGATTTAATCCGTTCCCAATTAAAAGGGGGATTATAATATCGACCAACCCTCCGGTTAATATTTGACCGAACATTACATTCAACCCCTGGGGTGTTTTGGTTCGTTCGCCCTATGCCAGATTTTGAAGTTGCGTGGTATTTTAAGGAAATTTCGCAGCGACTGTTTGGCTTCTTGCGAATTTTCAGACATTTTGGCTTTGTCCGAAAATGAAAATGATCTTCACTGAATCTCCAAAATTAAGTCGTTTATAACACAATATTTTCACAACAGTCTCTTAATCATTAAAACATTTTCGGTTTTTCCCTTGCTAGCTTTGCCTTAAGTTTCTTGCCTGTTTTCTTTAAGGTACGCTCACTTCAGAGTTTCCACTCTCAAGCATTTGCGTCTGGTATGAACATTATCTTGACTGCATCCCGACAATTAATTTACAAAACTTTTGTGCGCCGTTTCTTCTTTTATGGAGAAACATTCAAGCTTTTGACCGGTTTTTCGCGCAACAGAAACATTTCAGACTTGAAAGATTCCAATTGAAACTTGATATGTAAAATGCCCTTACACTTCTTCATTTAGCAATCATCCGAATTTTTATTGTAAAATTTGCAATTTTGAGAAGTTTGGTCTGAATTTGCCGCCGAAGCGAACACACCTCTCGACGGTAATAAATTTTGAGTTTGAACGGAACAAGTTCCTAAAGTAAAAGTGTGCCACTGAGCTTGATTAAAAACGCTTCATAATGCACTGTTAAATAAGTCCTTTTTCACCTAGAAAGAAAGCTATTTAGAAAGAAAATGGCTGGATTCTGAGAATGTATATGATACGTATTTGCCATTCGCTCCCATTCAGGTCTGATAGCTCTCGCTTTTCCAAACGTTTAAGTGAATGAGATCTATAAGGTTCCCCTCTCTGCATATGTAAGCCAACATTTAGCATTTTTTTGGCGGAATCACGAATGACATGTCCTTAGCATAGAAATGCCGAATGATGAGATTTATTAGGGCATAAACCATCAAGCTAGGTAGGTGACACTGATTGATGGATTTGCCCCGAATTCGAATTTCTTTCACACTGAAATATTCATGTTTCATACCAGTAATAAGAGTGTTTTGTTAACATAAAAACCACAAAACCCTTAGAGCAAAATAACTAAAAAATGATCTGGCAAACTACGAGACTTTAGTGACGATTAAATCAGAGCTGAGTGCTCATTAGCACGAGAACCGTTTCGTATCGTATTTGTCGAAGTACATCTGATTTTTCAGGCCCGAGATGGCAAAGAAGCCGAAAAACAAACAAGTCATTACTCGAAACCGACACAAAAGGATCAGAAACAGCGAATTCATCAAATCTTACCGTGGCTTCAGCTTCGTTCTCGGAAACAGTGGATTAGCAAGATGAAAATAGATTGTTCTCTAAAATAGAAATTAACGATGGTTTCGTGTCTGGGTGATAATTAATTATGGATGTTGCATCTCCATAAGACATTCATACGCAAATGGATTTCTCTTGCTTTGCGTTTTACTGTCGAACTACGCGTAATTGTACGGAGACTTTGTACTCGTAATTATCGCGACTTTTCACCCAATTATTACCGGATGATTTAGTTGATGTTTCAATTAGGCATCACTTGTGTGCGCCACCTTTCGAATCTTCTCTTAGCTTTGATTAACCAAAGGCTACAACATGTAAAATACATTTACCTTGTTTGAATGTAGCCGTGAAGTGTAGGGTCGACAAGATGAAAACGAGCCGAAACAGGTCGAACCATGGAACATCCATATTGTTAAACTGGGCTGCGGATTACATTGCGTTGCAATTTTGCAGCTGAAACAAACAAAAATTATTTTAAAACGTTTTCATGCTGTGTTAACTACATTGTGCTTAATCACAAGTCAAGTTTGAACCCGTCCTTCACAAACTATTTTATCGCAAAAGACATCGGAGTTGACTGAATCGATCAGACTTTTCCTTAAAAATTACACTTCCGGGAAAATCAAGTCTCAACTGAGTTAGTCCTCATTGAATGTAAGTAAAAATGGCACAAGAATAACAGACATTAATGACCCAGATTTTCCAGACGGTTGCAATCACTGCAAAAATTAAAGAAACTTTTAAGGCAATTTTTGCCGACTGCTTGAGTGGAACAAGGCCAAATGTCAATCAATGCGTTTATTAGACAAGGAAAACGACAGCGAGCTTAACACAGGCTTTTTAGGCCACGCCTCCAGGTGTGGCCTTGTCCCTTTCTACTGCTCGCTCCAAATCCCTTGCCTTGTTCCACTCACACATATGTTTCTAACAAAACCTGTATTTTGACTAGCTGAATGTTCAATGTATCACATTTATTCAAAAACAGAGTTATCGTTTGAAGCGACCCCAAAGCAGTAATTTGGCAAACGTGTAACTCAGACGGTATGCCCCAAGGCCCTAATTACTAAAGGGATATATTATACGGTTTAAATCATAATAAAAACCGTCGCACACACTCGCTTATCCTAAAATAAACACATTTTGTGCTCCGCTGAATTTCCATTACGTTTATTAAGTATCTGGATTTAATATTACCCCCAATTTAATGAGCCAAATTAATAAGACAAATATATGGGTTGGAAGCTTTTAGACGTCGCAAAACCTCGTGCGCCGTACGTCTTCGTCTAACCAGAATGGATGATCGACAATATTTATCATTTAATAGCGAAAATTTGGGTTCATCTACAAGAGCTACAGCTAACGCTTGGACCGAAATGTTTCGTCATCAAATGATGTCTTACTAAACTGTATAAGAGGCTGGGGAAGAAGAAAAACGCCTGAGTGAAGAGGAAAAGATTGCCAAGAAAATGTAGTGGGAGATTTTCTAAAAACAAGACTTAAGGAAACAATGAAGAACTAGTGAGAGGAACCGCGAAAATTACTTTAGAAAAAGAGCAGGTTGCAAGGACGCCACATTAAACCAACTTTTTTGTTTGTCAACAAAGTTTTTCGGTAAAAAGCGACTCAGAACTGAAATTAAACTTAGTGGTAGTGAAWTTGAACTTAGTAGGCTGCAAGAAGTTGAAGAATGAGTATAATGAAAACTAAAAAAATAGCGGCGRTACAAGAATAGGAAGTAATAAACTAGATGCAGACGTGATGGAAATGACAGAGGGAAAGTGCTTTAAATAGTGATGAGAGCAGATAAAGGGCAAAAGGTAACACGATGCGAAAGTGACAAAAAATGTCCATTGACCTAAACCAAACCATCTCAAGTATTTAATTTTTCAAATATTTGAACGAAAGTGGAAGATGCCTTAAAACAGAAATAGAATGAAAAGAACTTAAATTTAAATAATCGCATGCGCTTCCAGATAAGTGGAAAAGTGCCGGTACCGAAGTGATTGGTGATTGAAGAAAAGTAGACAGAAAAGATGAGTAAAACTTAATTAATTTGCTGAAAGAAATTCAAAGCGGAAGCTGGTGCACATGATTCTTCACATTGCGTCTTTCCCCGCGAAAAATTACTTCCTGTTAAACATTCTGCTTAAATTCTTCAACCTCGAGGTCTGGCGTGAGTGATAATTTTTCTCGACTCAGGAGTTCGTATCTTTCTGCTGCCTTTACGTAACCCACTTAAACATAAATAATCATATCCGCTTCCGGATGAGTGGAAAATTGCCAGTTCCAAAGTGTTTAGTCGAATAAGGAAAAGAAGATACTAAACAACACTGAGACTTCATTAATTTGCTGAATGAAGATTGAGGACGGACATTGAAGATATTGCTTTCCACCAAGTCAAAGTTGAAGCTTTAAGTGCATTTGCTGCTTCTTCTTCGCCTTCTCCTTCTCAAGATTGACCAGCTGCTAAACAATCTGCTCAATATCTTCGAGCCCCGAGTTCTTGGGATTTCTTAGCGATTTCTGTCCTTTACTTGTCAGCTCGTATTTTTCTGCTCTCTTTACGTGGCTGACTTTAGGTAACCGACTTAATTTTTTAATCTTAACTATCTTTAGCAGACTTATTTATTGTAATTAGCGCGTAACATTTTGTACAATACATTTTTTTAGAACTTAAACGTGAAAGTTTAAAAGACGAATGGAATGGTACCTTCTCATGAATGTCGCCGATAATCGAGCATTAACAAACAGCACTGTGAAGAGCAAAACACAGACAGTGGGGATAAATAGAGTAAGAAATGAACGCGTAAAGAAGAAACTAAAATAGGAGCCCCTAGTGAGAACCGTGCAAGAGCAACTGGAAGGCTGCTACAATACTGCCCTGCTAAGACAGGAAGTCGTATCTGCAAAAACGAAGTTTTGAGATATTAAGCAATTTGTAAATTATGACATGCCATCTGCGCTTATTTGCAAAACTGTTCTTTTTTAAGGTCTCAATGTGGACTTCACGTTAATAAACTTACACAAGAAATCTAAAGGTTGTAAATTTCGGGATTTGATAAAAAAATTGACTTTTGTTAGATACGAGTTTTTGTTTTAGTATTCTCATACGATTAAGGTATAGACATATTAAGTAATTTTGCAGTATAGTACTCATAGTTTAGCAAATAACATAAAAGCAAAGAACACAAACTTTGTAAGAAGCAACATATATTAACTAAAAATAATACATTATCTAATACTAGTAACTTTTAATATCATTTCCGTCGTTCACTGGCAGATCTTACCAAAAAGATACTCGATTTGCCGGAACAATGTTTCGTAATTTTTGCAAGCAGTTTGGCTTTCCTATCCTTGTCAATTCCTTTAGGGGCCAATCTGATCGCAGGTTTTGGTAGGTCATTTTAATAATGTTTGGCCAATAGAAAGTTGACTTCAATCAATGGTCCACTAAATTTGGTTTTATAAAAAGGATTTTAAAGCCCCTTTTAAATTGAACCTCAACAAAATTTGCTAAATAAGGTTTAAGTGTAATTTTCAAAAAATTGTCAAAATTTTGTAAAAATCATTATGGCTCATTTCAATCATCTCCACCCTTGAACTATTTGATTTTTTGACACATATTTTAAAATCCTCGAAATGTAATACTTTTCCTGTTTGTTTTAAAGACTTTTCCACTTGGCAAGAGTCAGCGGACATGAAAGTGTGGTCAGTTCTTCTAACGAGCTAATAATAAAAACAGAAAAGCCATACAAGGCCCAATTCTTGTTGTTTTGCGAAGCGCAGTTATCTAGCCAAATTGTGATTTCTTTAGCATCACGGTGAAACAACAGGGATTTGTAAAAGGTTGATATTAGATCAGATTTACTTCTTCCAGCCAAGGGATTGCTTTCCCAGAGCAACAAAGCTTTCGTTAAAACAAATGATCCTTGGTGTAAAAATGATTTCTTTAAACATTTCACAGTGATTTCTTTATTTTCTTCAGTGATCACTTTATTATACTTGTGATATAATAACCACCTTTTGCAAGTCTGCAGAAGCAAATAATGATTCAGATCCTGCTTTTGTAGATACGTCATTTTTATATTCAGTTCTCGCTTCTATGGCATTTTAATAGTGATTTTTTAATTTTTGGCAATCATCGCAGTCGGGCTCAGTATTTTAATTATCATGTTTTAAGTTTTTGGAGTGAAGGTTGAATGTTTCGCATTGCCAGCACTACTCATGACCGAGCACAGCAAACGAGATATTCATCTCAGCTACTTGTTGGCGGTAAAGTTCGTATGAAACTTTCATTTCGGGGAACTTCTGTAGAAAATCTGCATGCATTAATTTAATGTTAATATCACTGGGCACATATTTTCGATTTGGGGCGTGTTTCCTTCTATAATGCGATA